CTTATGTGGTGCTGAGGAATCGAACCCAGGGCCTCGAGCATGCAAGGCAAGTGCTCTACCACTGAGCCACCTTCCCAGCCCCCCAAGAAACTGTTATCACCAACTAAATAGAAAAAACCTGGAAATGGAGCTACGGCTCAAGTGGTAGAGTATCAGCTAAGTGAAAAAGCTGAGTAATAGCAGGAGGCCCTAAGTTCAAGCCCCAGAACCAACCCCCCCAAAAAAAATTTTAAAGTGGTCACAGTTGTGGTAGCTCCCTTTCTTTGAAATATTTTCCATTAAAAAAAAAAACAAAAAACAGCTAGGGCTGGGAAGTTGGCTCAGTGGTAGAGCACTTGCCTTGCATGCCTGAGGCCCTAGGTTCGATTCCTCAGCACCACATAAGCAAAAAGAAAAAAGCCGGAAGTAGCACTGTGGCTCAAGTGGTAAAGCACGAGCTGAAGAGCTGAGGGACAAGCGCCCAGGCCCAGAGTTCAGGCTCCATGACCAGACCGAAAAAAAAAAAAACAGCTAGTGAGAAAGGCAGGGGATTCCCAATACTTCATGAGTAAAACTCAACTTTCATCAGAGGCCATAAGTCTCCAATCTCATTCAGAATGCAGAGTTTAGGTTAGCTGTTTAAATCACAGTGACAGCAAAGGCCCTTTCAAGAGTAGTACCACATGCACAGAGACCTGAGTGTGAGGGAGGGAGCCATGTGGGAACTGGGTGAAGGGTTACTCAGGAAGGGAGAAGAGCACGGGCCAAAATCCTTAAAGTGGGGGCAAAGCTTGATGTGTCTGAGGAATATCAGTCAGCTTTGAGTAACTGCACTGATTAAACCAAATGGTAAGCCTTAGGAGATGGGATCAGAGAAGGAACCAGCTAAGGCCAGACTATCCAGAGCTAACAAACAATTTTTACAGTGCCAGTACTAGGACTTGAAATTTAGAGCCTTCAGCCCTCACTTAGCTCTTTCTGCTCAAAGATAAAGAGTCTTAGAGACGTCTCTGCAAAAGCTAGTTTCAAGCCATGATTCACACATTTCAATTTCAGCCTCCTGAGTAGCTGGGATTACAGGTGTGAGCCACTGGTGCCCAGCTTGGATTTTAAGACTATCTTCTTGGTTACTGTTAAGAATGGACAAACAATAACAGCATGAAGAAATGACTTACTCATGACCACAGGATAACTCAGGAGGACCAACATCCAAAGCTCTCTAGCTTTCTGGGGTACTGGTGACTCATAGCTAGTAAAGATGCTGGTATTTGAGTATCACAGTTCGAAGCCTACTTTGGCAGTAAAGTCTTGGAGGCTCTTATCTCCAACAAGCCAAAAAGCTTGACAGAAATAGTTAAGGGATAGCACCTACGCCCTGAGTTCAAGCCCCAGTATTTGCAAGCATGTGTGCATGCACACACACACATGCACACACACACGCACGCACACACCAAGCAGTGATCTTTATATAAATAGGTGCAGTGCAAAGTTTTTCACCCTTAACTCAAACGATCATACTCAACAAACTGATTTTTGTCTTTCTGTACTTAAGGAATGGGAAATGAAGAAGACTTAGAAAACACACGAATTCCATTCCAAAAGAAGAATCAACTTGTCCATCTAAGACAGAAAAGCTTTTTTCACAGACACCAGGAGAAGACTGAAAGTATCCCTACTCTCTGGAACACCCAAAAGCCCAATTTTTATTGTTTGCCTGATTTAGGTGCTGTGGAAATTCAGGACAGGGGAAATGGAGGGCATCATTAGGATTTCAAAGAATGGAATTGCAGTGGGGGGAGACAGTCTGCACAGTTGTAAAGGTTTCGTTCCATTTCTTTGCCCTCCCCTCTGAAGAAGGAATGAAAGCACATGTGAATAAGCCATTCCATCCCATCTTGGCAGCCCATGCTAGTCCTTAGACAAAGGAAGGCAGTGCTGAAAACCTTAGAGGCACAGTAAAGAGAGAAGAGCCTTGATCATTCATATGTGTGCCTTCTGCATCTCTGCTTGGCATGACAGATGATCTCTGGGCCAAGCCAATATGCTGAAACATCAAAAACATCATCCCTGCCTGCACAAAAGTGAACAAAAGCCAGCTCTACAGTCATTCCTCCTCTGCTTTAGAATGCAGCTACTGGAATCTTCCAGATCTGAGTGTTTTTAAATCAGAAGGTTGAATACACAAAAGAACAAAAGAGAAGTTGGTCAACTGATACTTTCTATGCTCACAACGAAAGGAGCATGGAGCTCTAAGTCCATAGGATGTGGCAGACATTGGTTTGGCACATTGGGTCATGTGCTATCCTTGACCTATTTTATAGGGCACTAAGGTTTGTTGGACTAGGGTTAGTTGCCATGTCTTCGACGTGAAGACCACCTCATCTTGCACTGAAGGCCCACCAGCCTTCTGCTCTGCTACGAAGTAAACCTACCCAGGACAATCAAGAGGAAGGTGGCTCATTTCTGCCACATGGGTGCTAAGCTTTTTACAAATACTTAATTCTCCTGTGGAAGGAGCAAGGACTTCAAGTCTCAGGCAGCTTCCTTTCTACTGTCTCAACACCACAGGCACTTTCTAGATCTGTCTGTAACACATTTCTCTACAATAAAGATAAAACCATTTAACCTAGTAGCTCAGGGGTCAATGCAAAAGGAGGGGGGATTACCAGAATAACCCATAAACATTGCTTTACAGTCTGTGTGTGTATCTGTGTGTGTGTGTGTGTGTGTGTGTGTGTTCGAGTGTGTTCTAATCCTGGGACTTGAATTCAGGGCCTGACACTGACTCTGAGCTTTTTTGCTCAAGGCTAGTGATCTACCACTTCAGTCACAGCTCCACTTCTGACTTTTTGGTAGTTAAACAGAGTCTCATGGATTTTCCCTGCCCAAGCTGGCGTCAAACTGTAATCCTTAAATCTCAGCCTCCTGAGCAAGTAGGATTATAAGCCTGAGCCACTGATTCCTAGCAAGCCCACCAGCACATGACACTGTATATTCTTTTAACAAGGCTTAATATACCTCAGCCTCACTGAAACTTTACTTGTAATGAGAAAAAAAATTGTCCAAAATCTCCCACTGATCACTGGCAGAGTCTAGAACTTAGAGGTTATGATCCTGGAACCAGACAGCTGCATTTGAACCAATGGGATGGCAACAGGAAACTCACTGGACATCTCTCTGGCTCTTAGTTTCCATACCTATAAAAACAAGGTTAAGAATTATATTGTCCTTGCAAGACTACTGAAAGAATTTAATAATACATGAAAAACACCTTGCATAATGTCAGAAATAGGAAACACTCAAGACAAGAATAGCTCGAACTAGATACACAATGCCTGACTTAAAACCTAGTATGAAGCCAGATACCAGTGGCTCATGCCTGTAATCCTAGCTACTAAGGAGGCTGAGACCTGAGGATCGTGGTTCAAAGCTGGTCCAGCAGGAAAGTCTGTGAGACTCTTATCTCCAATTAACCACCAGAAAACTGGAAGTTGTGCTGTGGCTCAAAATGGTAGACCACTAGTTTGAGCTGAAGAGCTCAGGGACAGCACCTAGGCCCAGAGTTGAAGCCCTACAACTGACAAAAAAAAAAAAAAACTAGTAGGAAACTGGCCACTCTTGGCTCATGCCTGTAATCCTAGCTACTTAGGAAGAAGCTGAGATTTGAGGATCATGGGTCAAAGCCAGCCCAGGCAGAAAAAATACCTGAGACTCTTATCTCCAATTAGCAAAAAAAGCAAAAATTGGAGGTGTGGCTCAAGTGGTAGAGCACCAGCCTTGAGCAGAAAAAGAGGTTTAAGGACCTGCGTTCAAGCCCTAGTACCAGCATGTGTGTGCAGTATGCACCCACTTAAAAAAAAAAAAAAAACTAGTGATTGAGGCCTGTCATCCTATCAGTTGGAAGGCTGAAAGATCAAGTTCAAGGCAACCTGGGTTACAAAGTGAGACCTTGTTTCAAAAATCAAAATAACAGGGCTGCAGGTATAGCTCAGTGGTTAGAGCTTCTTCCTGTCCAGCAAGTGGAAAGGCTGGCGCTTAAATCCCAGTCCTGCCACCAAAAACAAAGTCTGTTCTCTCCATCTCCATGGCAATGGTGACACACCAAAAGACAGCCAATCCAAACTTATGGTTTTTTCTACCTTGGTGTCTTCAGTGTCAGACTGTCACTTTTGAGATTTCCAATGTCCTTTTTGTGTTGGTGGTGGTGTTCCAAGAGTGATGTACAGAGGGGTTCCAGTTATATACATCAGATAATAAGTATATTTCTTTTTAGACAATGCCACCCTCCAATGTTCTTTTTAAAAGTCTGTATCCTGAAATGGCACCCACCACGATGTCTCCAGTGTGTGTCACACCTGTCTTCTACAGTTAGTATGCACTGAAATGTCACTTTCTACCAATAGATGTTGTAATCTGAGAATATGTAAATCATTAATAATACTGAGCACTCAGCAGGTTAGCCTAGGGGCAGATGGTTCTTTTGATATTCTACCGTTGCTTTCCTGGTATTTTTGTTTTGCTTTAATAATTTTTAACTTGAGCCACACACAGCCCTTTTTGCTTGTTGTTTTTCAAATAGGTTCTCCTCCCCCTGCCACCCTGAATTGTAATCTTCCTATTTTGCTTCCTATAAAGCCGAGGTGGCAGGCCTGGGCTACCACATCCAGCTTTTTATTGGTAGAAATGAGATCTTGTGAACTTTTTGCCCAGGCTGGCAACCATCCTCCTGATTTCAGCTTTCCAAGTAGCTAGGATTACAGGTGTTAACTAATGTATCTGCTTCCCTTCATTTTTTTTTGGGGGGGGGGGACGGTTCCGGTCGTGAGGCCTGAACTCTGGGCCTGGGCGCTGTCCCTCAGCTCTTCAGCTCAAGGCTAACACTCTACCACTTGAGCCACAGCGCCACTTCCGGCTTTTTTCTTTTTGCTTATGTGGTGCTGAGGAATCTAACCCAGGGGCTCATGCATGCAAGGCAAGCACTCTACCACTAAGCTACCTTCCCAGCCCTCCCTTCATTCTTGAACAAGAAGTTCTGCATTTTCCTGTCCTTTAAATAATGCAGCCAGTCCTTGAGATAACTAATCACTGTTCCAAATATTTCTTTAGGTGCCACTAAATTCAGTGAGATCTGTTATAGTCATTGTTTCTACAGTTCATGTGATCAATGGCACAGGATTTGAACTTAGGGTACTGAAAGCTTGCTTATTCATGGTTGATACTGTACCACTTAAAGTCATACTTCTTGCATGGCTTTTATATTTATTTAGCGAGTCCTGGGGCTTGAGCACTGTTCCTAAGCTTCTTCTCAAAGCTAGAGTTCTACCACTCAAGCCACACCACCACCTCCAGCCTTTTCTGAGTAGTTTATTGGCTCTTAACTGGAGTTTTGTTGACTTTTCTGCCTCTAAGCTGGCTTTAAACCATGATCCTCCTGAATAGCTAGGATGACTGATCCACCAGCACCTGACCCCATTAACTACAAATCTCTGTTTCAGCCATCTGCACACTGTACTACAGCATTCAGAAGCAAACTAACACTTAATATGAATGGATACATGTATGCAACACCTTAAACTGGGCAGCTAAGAGAAATGTAGCCAAAATGGCTACAGCCAATATACCAATTTTTGTTCTGGTGGTACTGGGGTTTGAACTCAGGGCTTTATACTTGTTAACTACCACTAGAGTCCCAAGCCTGTTTGCTTTTGTTGTTTTCCAGATTGGGCCTCTACATTTAGCCTGGACTGCAGTCCCCCTCTTTTGGTCTCCTGTGTAGTTGAGATGACAGGTGCTTGTCACTATGCCCAGCTTTTTTGTTGAATCTTTTTTTGGAAGATCGGGGGAAGAGGGGTTAGGGGGTGGGATGAGAGGTCCCACTCTGCCTGGGCTGGCCTCAAGATTCAATCCACCCAATCTCTGGTGAGTCACTACACTCAACTTTACTTTCTGGGGTAATGGGCTTGAACTCAGAGCCAGGGCACTGTTCCTTATCTTTTTTGCTCAAGGCTGGTGCTCTACCACTGAACCACACCTTCTGGATTTTTGCTGGTTAATTGGAATTTCCTGCCTGGGTGGCTTCAAACCTTAATCCTTGGATATCAGCCTTCTGAGTAGCTAAGGTTTATAGACGTTAGCCACCAACACCAGCTGGTCTTGTACATTTTGCTGAGGGCCAAATGCATACCATAAACTTAATACCTACACCTCCTATACAGCTGAGGTTGTATAGCCAGGTGCCACCATGCCAAATTCCTGTTAAAATTTACGGGTTTATATTTTTGTTCTTGCTTTGTTTTTTCTAAGTATAGGCCATAGGTCTGAGGTGAACTGGACATTCCATCATTCCAAACACTGCAAAGCACTTGGTCAGAATCCCAGAGTTACAGTGAAAAAGTAAGGATCCAGGGTCCACTCCTCCACGCTCTCCCCTCATCTTGGCCTAAAAGGTCAAACCAGACTGGGAGAGGGTGAGTGGCAGACACCCTGTTTGGGAACATCTTGCTAGTACCCCTTCTAGTTCTAGTTCCTGTATTTTCCATGAACTTGGGGATAGGAACTGCAGTAGAAAACCAATCTAACCAATATAGTGCTATCTTCTAAAGCGCCTAATTAGAGGGAAGGCCAATCACAGCACAGCACAGGGTATTAAAACCCCTACAGGACCTGTTCTTTTTTTTGTGTTCATGGGACTTCAACCATGATCCTCAGATCTCAGCCTCCTGAGTAGCTAGGATTACAGGGGTGAGCCACCAGCGCCCGGCCTGGCACAACGTTCTTACAGCAATCAGAAGGCTATTTAGGATTTCACTCCTGTAATCCTAGCTTCTCAGGAGGCTGAGATCAGAGGACTGTGGTTTAAAGACAGCCCAAGCAAAAAAAAAAAAAAAAAGTTCATTGAAACTCAGCTCCAATTAACCACCAAAAAGCCAGACGTGGAGCTGTGGCTTAACTCACAGCGTGCCAGCCTGGAGCAAAAAAAGCTAAAGGACAGCGCCTAAGCCTGGAGTCCGCACTCCAGGATTGGCGCACTGGCGCACGCACACACGCGCGCACACACACACACGAAGTTACCTTTATTAGCAACTGTCATTGAGAATGGGACGACCACGTTTTAGCAAGAGAAGGAGACTCTGCAGGCAGCAGCAGTGCGGTCAGAGCGGCCCGCCGCCACGCCCTCGCCGCTCCGGGTCGCGGCCCTTCCCGCCCCGGGCCCAGTGTCCCCGCACCACTCCCCGCCCTCGCCCGCGCTGCTCCGCCGCCGGGACCGCCGGCCCCCTCGCGTCCACAGCTCCCGGAGGCTGTGACTTCCCTTGGGGAAGAGGCCTTCTTCGCCTCCGAGGCTTGCGAGGCCTGTGCCTCTGACTCTGCAGCGTACCAGCTGGACGCAGCAGCGCTCAGGCTAGCCTGTGACAACCAGAAGCTCGTACGCGAGCAGCCTAACTCTCCGAGCCGGAAGCTTGCGTTCCGCCCGGAACCACGGCGCGGCGCACCTGACAACCGGAAGTGCAGCGTTCCCATCCGGAAGTCCCGCGAGCGTTAAAGCTGGCCCAGGCGGCTCGAAGGCGCAGGCGCCTTTCCGCCGGGAGCCGGTGCGCACGCGCCGCTCGCGTCTTCTCGCGCCCGGAACATGGCCGCGCGGTCGCTGTGGGCGGTCCGGCGGCGGGTGCAGCGCCTCCTGGCCTCCTGCATCCCGCCCGATAGCAGGTAAGCGCTGGGGGGGCAGGGGGGTCGGGGATGTGGAGGCCTGGCCGGACCGGCGAGTAGGCGGGGCCGGCGTGAGCTGGGAGGCGTGGGCGGCAGCTCCCGCCGAGCCTCGGCCTCTGGGACCCGGCTTTCGCGGTCCCATTTCACAGAAGGGGAAATTGAGGCTCCAGGCTCCCAGGAAGGTGGGTGGATCCCGGGCCCCGTCCTGGGAGGCGGGAAGTCCTCGGCGCCCCGAGCACCGGCTGAAGCGGAAGCGTGGCCCTCTCCCGGGTCTTCGGCGCCGGTGCTGTCCTGAGGCGGGTGGGAGGCTTGGCCTGACGCCCCGTCGTGGGTAGTCTGTACCCGAGCATCGTTTCACCTGCCCGGAAAGCAGGGCGTTGGACCAGATTTCTCCAGATCGTCACCTCTGTGTGAAAATCCAGTTACTGCTTTAGCCACCAGCAGATTTTATGTCTTTGCTTATTGTCTGCAAAGCTATGAGTGCTTTTTATTAATGTTTAAAAGTTAAGTTTAGCCATTCTGACATCTTGAGACCTAGAAGAATTGAGTAACTTTTGTCAAACTGGATAACTCTTAGAAATGGCAGAACCCTACTATTAATAAGTAAAGGAGTAGAACCAGTGTTGATTCTAGGGGTGTCTTGGAAAAGAATGTAAAGACTGCAGTAGGGATTGTGTTTGGAGCTCAGAAGTGTCCATTAGATTCTGGGGGAATCCAGGGAAATTTCATAACAGTTTATCTTCTTTTTAAAAACTCACCTGACTGAACACCCTATCCTAAGCACTTTGGTGAGGAGTTGAATTGTTGTTTTTTGAGGATGAAACGGGTATTTTACTATGTTTAATTTGCCCCAGGTCTATCATGACCATATTTTCTGATAAAAATTTTGGAACCATATTTCTTTTTTTTTTATTTTTTATTTTTTTATTACTATTATGAAAATACCATACAGAGGGGTTACAATTACATGGGCATGATCGTGAGTACATTT